TAGATGAGGAGGAAGAAGCCCAAGATGCAGTAGCGCTCGACGAAGAACCAGAGGAACTGGAAGAAGATGACGAAGTGGACGAGCTCGTGGCGTCGACAGACTTTGAATTCTCAGTACGTCTCTCATGTAATTGAAGGGCTTGGGAAGACAAGATGATACCATTGGCTGCCCCAGCGGTCAGTACTTCACCTACCTCAATGCTCGCAAGGCTGGCAGGGGGATCAGTGCGTGCCTCAGAGGTCGGTACGTCACCCCCTGCAGTGCCCGCAAAGCGAGGAGGATCCATGCGTGCCGCTGGGGCAGGAGAGGAAGTCGCTGCAATGCTCGACGTGGCAACTTCGTGCCCGTGCTGCAAAGCGGCACCCAGAGGTGCACCAGAGTCGGCCTCAAGGGCCTGCCCATCTCGGGTGTAGAGGATCAGCCCAGTACATGTCCGAGACAGCAAGGTAGTTTCCGAGCGTGTGATGATGACGGCCGCCATGGACTCGGCCTTGCGCTGGCCAATGCCGATAGCCGCCAAGTTCTCCAGCTCAGGTGTCACGTCGAACTGGTTCTGCTCAAGCTCCTCAACCTGGAAGAGCACGCTGCACTCGTCGTTCTCAATCATGAAGAGGGTGCCCTTGAAGCCCTGGGAGCCCAACTTCATGCCCTGGCGCCAGCCGTTGATTTCGCGAAGATGATCGGAAACACGCGCCCACAGCAGGCCGAGCGCCTTGTTACGACGCCTGACCGAAGATGGGGCGTCCAACCGCGCCCGCATGGGAGTCTGCACGAATGTCTTCTGGTCCATCCAGTGCATGCCCTTGGCCCGCACCTGGTCCACGAAGTCCCTGGCGTTCATGTCCGATTCGAACTCGATACTGAAATAGGAGTTGAGGTTGTGCGCCCGCGTCGTGAAAGGCACGTCCTGCGGCGCGAGCCCTTGCTTTTTGATCGTGTCAGCGGAGGCGATCATCACTTTAGCTAAAACTGGCCGAGGAAATCCACCAATCCAAACCTTACACGGGTTGCTCTCAGGCGTCGCCGTGCCACCATAGCTCTCAGGACCTGCGGTGCGAGCCCTCTTGGACCCGAGCGAAGATGCGAAAGTAGATCCACTGGCAGTAGAACGAGAGTCATTAGCCACCTGTCCAGCCAACTCCTTCAGCTGCAGCGCGGTGGTGTCGGCTTGTGTCTGCAGCCTCTTGATGACGTCGGGTTCCCCCAGGTTCGCCAGCGCGTCGCTCATCACGTCCGTAGTGGCCTGCACGCTAGCCAACTGCTCGGCAAGCACTTCGAACTTCTGATGGTGCGCAAAGACCTCCTCCCTCATGGCCTTCATGTCACCGAGATGGCCCTCGACCTGGGTCATGCGCGTGCCGAGTCCCTCGATGCCCGCGAGGATGCGCGCGAGCGTGTCATCGCCAGGAGCCGCCGCAGCGCCGCTCGCCATGTTGCCGCACACAAAATGAGGCGGCTAGTGAGATTGGAGTGTCCGCCTGGGTCTGACCCCAGATCGCCCTCTGCAGAGAGCTGCCGCGCTCAAAAGGGGCCTGTCCCCGACTTGAGCCAAAATGGCAACGGAGGAGGACGAGGAGGAGGAGGAGGAGGACCAGGAGGAGGACGAGGAGGAGGAACGCCCATTTGGCCTCTGGCGGGGCCCGCCGATCCCGACCGATCCATCGGGGTTCGGTCGCGCCTGCCGCCCGATCGATCGCGGTGGCAGGACACCAGATCGCGCATCGGCCAGCCCGCGGGGCAGGGGCTCACGCGTGCCGCATCGCGCCATTTTGGCGACAGCGGCCGCGCTGCGGCCCACGGCGGCAGGATGCCGCGTGGAGGCAGAGGCGGAGTTCCAGAGGGCGCCACACATCGAAGGCAGAGAGATAAGAGGGGGGACGCCAGGCTCCTCCTCAGACTGGCAGCGGCCAAGGAGCTCTTGTGGAGCCACCGCTCCGCGCAGCAGCACAAGAACAAAACGGCCCCGAGGACAGCTACGACTACACAAAAATGGCGTCGGGACGGGCACCATGGCAGTCATGGAAGTGTGGGCGCTGCGCCAAATTGAATGCGATTGCACAATGGTGGTGCACATGTGGAAAGCCGTGGAAAGGAACAACGAGGAGGTGGGAAGAGGTCGAGAAGAGCGGATGGCAGAAAAAAACGACAACCGGCAGAAACATAGAGGGGGCACAGAGATACAGACCGTGACCCCACCAGCTCGAGAACAGTAAGCACGAATAAGCAACCGATTCGAGTTGCCGCCGACGGACTACGCCATGCAGAGAGCCTTTCGCAACAAAGTTGATAAGGAGATTAGAGTAACTTGCGTGAGTGGCAGTTGCAAAACAGAAAGACAAGCAGGAGGTCACGGACGAGATCAAGGATATCGCGCCAGGCGAAGGCTGGCAAACCCGTGGTTGCTAAAACGGAGCTCCGGGTAAGTGTTGTTCTTCTTCCGGGAAACAACCTGTTTATGCTTTAGCGCGCTGAGTTATATTCCGGGATTTTTTCTTCCGGGGAGACCACTTTTTCAACCACGGATTTGCCAGCCCTCGCCCAGCTTCCGACAAGAACAGAATGGCACAACTCAAGGCGGCAAGGGACAATATCGTCACCAAGCTGTCCAACATGACCAAGCAGCACAGGGAGCTGGAGAAGGAGATCGCCAACACGGAGAAGGACCTCAGAATTGCCAACGCCGACATCAGAGAACAAGAGGAGCTGGCCAACGAGAACGAGAAGGAGCACGGCTGCGAGGCGGACCAGTCCAGCGAGGAGGAAGAAGAAGAACGATACAGAGGCAAGAGCGAGGCGAAAAAAGAAAACACAAGCGAAGCTACGACAATTTCCGCGGCAGCAGCATCGAGGACCGAAGAAATTGATGGCAAGTTTCACTAGCTCGAGAGAGAGATAAGAGAGATGGTGCAGATGATGAAAGATCAGGAGGACACCATCAAGAAGCTCAATGACATGAACCACGAGATGGAGAGGCAAGTCGAGGATGCCAATAAGGAAGAACAACAAGCAATAAGACAGAGCCAAACAGGTTCAACACCAGCGAGATCAAACAAGGAGGAGAACGAGATGCTCATGATGGTAGTCAACGAGAACCAGAATCAGATGGAGGCGACCCAGCAGCGGCAAGATATAGAACTGCAGGAATGGCAACAACGAGAACGATAATAACAAAACGCGCTGATGGACTGCCTGCAGAAAGATGAAGAAGACAGGCAAAGAGAAATTAAGGAGCCTGCAGCAAAGACACCAACAAGAGCCAGCGGAACTCCAACGGCAGCAAGCAGAAGTGCGAGCAGCGAAACAGAAGGCAGCGGAAGAGAGAGAGTACCAGATTGGGCACGACATAGCGAATGGGGTCCAGCAAGCACAGGCGGAGAGCCAGAGGCAACGACAGGAAATACAGAGGCTGCAGCAGGACTAGTTCGTGATGATGCAAAAGGAAGCAAAGGAAGACGCAGTAACAAGACAACAGTGGGAAGAACATCAGCGACCAGTGCAACGACAACAACAACAACAAGAAGAACGATAAACCGACGAGATGAGGGTAAGTACAGCAAGCGCAGGCTGAACATCAGCAGCTACAGCGACAGCATTGGGAGCAAGCACAGAAGAGCGTGCAGGAGCAGCAACATCGTGACCAGATGATCGACATATGGAGGAGACAGCAGGCATACGAACAACAACAGCAAGAGAACGAGCGAAGAGGGCAACAACAACGACAAAGGACCCAACGCCAAGCGAAGGAATAATAAAAAAGGGAGCGACGACTATACCGACCAGACAAACAAATGGACGATGAGGCACAGCTCCAGAAAGAGATCGAAAGTGTCGAACGGGAACGAGATGAGGACGAAGGGCTGCAGCAAGAGTACCAGAAGAGAATGGAGGACGAGGGGGCAGGAAATGGAAACGGATGCATGGGCAGAGAGAGGAATACCAGATCACGAATCTTGGGACGGGGATGGCTACTGGGATTACTCGCAGCAGAGGTGGATGAAAGGCAACCAATGGACACCGACAGACGAGCTGGAGGACTGGTACTACGACCAAGGGTGCGAAGACGACCTGGAGCGGACAAAGGGCAAACCTCAAGGCAGAGCGAAGGAGGAGGAGGAATATTTGGTCGACAGCGAAATCGAAATGAAGAAGAGCCTTGACGAGCTGCTCAAGCTGGAGACCGAGGGGATGATCAACCCGAGCCAGATCAGCGTGGACACCCAGAACGCGAAGAGAAGCAAAGAATGCGAGGAGGACGTAGAGGAGCAGATCTCCATCACGGAAGCCATACAGCGAGAGGATCGAACACCACGACCAGAGGATGAAGGACACGACCGAAAAGCAGAGACAGCAACGCCAAGACGATGACGGACGCAGCCGACTCCAGAGAAGCAGAGGAGTAAAGAACGTCGGACGGCAAGAGGAAGTACTACCAGCTGACGCCGCCGAGGAACAAAAAGGAAAGCGGAGCCAGCACACGACGTGGACCACGACAGAAACCAGAAGACGGCGGCACGGAGGGCAGCATCGCCATGCGATGCCTTCAGGGTGCGCCCCCGTCCCCCGCAGGTCATGCAAGGATATGCAGGGGACGGGGGATAAACTCTGAGAAGAGCCCCGATAAGGGGCACACGGAATGCATGGGGCCCCTGAGGGATGAAGCGGACAAGGGAAAGCAGCGACGTGCTCAAGCTCGACCACCTCTAACTACTCGACATCAGTGCAGTTCAGGAATCAAGGGCCCGAGTCAACCCATTTTGGACGGTCACTTGTTTTTAGGGAATAGATATCGCGATGGTTGCGAGGCTGAGTGCAGCGGGATTGGGAGCTTCGGGCAACGCACCAGTTACGTCAGCCACAGCACCACTGTGGAGGATCGGCAATGTTGAAATGAGAATGAGGGGGTGAGGGGGAGGTGGAAAAGCAGGAAGGGGAGGAGCAGAAGCAGGAGGAGCAGGCGCCGCAGCAGTCAGAGGGGCCTGCCCCGCCCGTGGCCCCGTCTCCTGCAAGGCCGCCAGCTGCGCCTTGCCGGCCTCCGCCGCGCGCGCGCTTAGCCTCCGTCTCAACCCCGTGATCCTCATATATTTGTCTTCGGCATGCAATGGAGGTGGTCCTGCTCGTCCAACTCCTGCTACCTCCTCCCCTCCTCGTACTCCCTGCTCCTCCGTCTTCTCCCCCTCCTCAGGCTGCTCCTCATCCTCTTCCTCCTCCTCCTCCTCGTCCCCTCCTCGATCTTCCTCCACCTCCTCATCGACCCTCCTCCTCCTCCTCCTCCTCCTCCTCCTCCTCCTCCTCCTCCTCCTCCTCTCCTCCACCTCGATACGCCTCCTCGCTTTCATTAGGTAGCGGCGGGCGAGCGGGGCCTTGGCAGTCGCGCCCCCCGCGTGGCCGGAGGCGTGCCTGACGCTGGTCAGCTGGGGCGCCGGGGGGCCCTCCAGCGCCGCCTGCGGCACGCCGTCGTCGCAGCGGGGCCGCCGCCGCCGCCGCCGCCGCCGCCGCCGCCGTCGTCGTCGTCGTCGCCGTCGCCGTCGCCGTCGCCGTCGTCGTCGTCGTCGTCGTCGTCGTCGTCGTCGTCGTCGTCGTCGTCGTCGTCGTCGTCAGCATCGTTTTCGTCGTCAGCATCGTTTTCGTCGTCAGCATCGCATTCGTCGTCGTCAACGTCGTCGAGGAGGGCTCTGAGGGAGTAGCGCTCAGATGCGATAAATCCCACCAGCCCTCTGGGCGTAGGTGGTCTAGGGCGGCTCGTCTAGGGCGGCTCCTCTTCCAACCCCCATTCATCCCCTTCGGGGAGGGGGTTCGTTGTTCCTTATTAATGTACACCCCCTCCCCCAGGCGACCAGGGGCCAACCAGGCACCATGCCGACACCATGACCACCCGCCCCCCACCATCCCTGTCAACAAAATTATGCTAACGGAGTTCCCCACATAAAGAGATTAACGGTTTCGTGGGACCCATTTTCTTAATGCCCTCCTCGCGACGCTGGAGGGGTGGGAGGGGCACGAAACCATGTAAATAGTATGGTTTTCCGATACCCTCCTCGCTCAGGCGGGGCCTCCCTGGAGGGGTGGGAGGGGCACGAAACCATGTAAATAGTATGGTTTCCGATACCCTCCTCGCTCAGGCGGGGCCTCCCTGGAGGGGTGGGAGGGGCACGAAACCATGTAAATAGTATGGTATTCCGATACCCTCCTCGCTCAGGCGGGGCCTCCCTGGAGGGGTGGGAGGGGCACGAAACCATGTAAATAGTATGGTATTCCGATACCCTCCTCGCTCAGGCGGGGCCTCCCTGGAGGGGTGGGAGGGGCACGAAACCATGTAAATAGTATGGTATTCCGATACCCTCCTCGCTCAGGCGGGGCCTCCCTGGAGGGGTGGGAGGGGCACGAAACCATGTAAATAGTATGGTATTCCGATACCCTCCTCGCTCAGGCGGGGCCTCCCTGGAGGGGTGGGAGGGGCACGAAACCATGTAAATAGTATGGTATTCCGATACCCTCCTCGCTCAGGCGGGGCCTCCCTGGAGGGGTGGGAGGGGCACGAAACCATGTAAATAGTATGGTATTCCGATACCCTCCTCGCTCAGGCGGGGCCTCCCTGGAGGGGTGGGAGGGGCACGAAACCATGTAAATAGTATGGTATTCCGATACCCTCCTCGCTCAGGCGGGGCCTCCCTGGAGGGGTGGGAGGGGCACGAAACCATGTAAATAGTATGGTATTCCGATACCCTCCTCGCTCAGGCGGGGCCTCCCTGGAGGGGTGGGAGGGGCACGAAACCATGTAAATAGTATGGTATTCCGATACCCTCCTCGCTCAGGCGGGGCCTCCCTGGAGGGGTGGGAGGGGCACGAAACCATGTAAATAGTATGGTATTCCGATACCCTCCTCGCTCAGGCGGGGCCTCCCTGGAGGGGTGGGAGGGGCACGCCATGGCATGGTATGGTACGGTATGGTACGTATGGTGTGGTATGGTATGGTATGGTATGGTATGTGTGGTAGGAACTATGGTATGGTATGGTGTGCGTGGTAGGAATAATATTGTGCTGTATGGAAGATGGAGCGGGAGGTGGGTGGGAAGGAGAGGGTGTTCTGGGAAAACAAGAACCCCACTCAGGATGTGGGGAACAATACAAACCGCACTCTGCCTCCACATTTGGAGCATGCGCGGCCAACCCGATGCGGCCCCCCACCATCCCTGTCAAAAAACCATGCAAAGTAGACTGTGGGGCAAAGTCTTGAGTCATTTTGGTGAGGCCCGCGAGCACTTCGTATTGTTTTTGAAAAGGACGGCGGGGGTGTCAGCATATTCCCTGCTGCGCGCAGGGCTACCATCCCTGACAAAAAACAATGCAACATGCACCTCGCGGCTAAATCTGGATCGTGCGCGGCCATCCCGCGATCACTGTCAAGTGGTTTTTGACAGGGACGGCGGGGATGGTGGCGCGTGGCCTGCTGTGCACAGGCCCAGCAGACACAATGATGGGCATCGGTTTTCGACAAGGATGGCGGGGGACGACATGTTTCCTGGCGTGCTGTCACGTGCGCAGGCGCATCTGACGCACTCTGCACGTGCCCCGAACGCGGCGCACCTGGCGCACCAGGCGTGCCTGGCACGCTCGGGCCCCAGGGGTGCCTGGCGCGCGTGGCGCCCCTGGCACGCGTGGCGCACCTAGCCCAGACGTCGCGCACCTGGTGTCGGCTTTGGTTCCCAATAGCTGTCCATCCAAATAGACGACCGACCGCTGAACATGCTCAGGCTCGGGTGTTACTTATGTGTAGGGAGGGCGGGTGGGAGTGAGCTAGACGGCTTGCGGGCGGGCGGGTGTCGTGACCCCTCCCCCGACCCCCTCCCATAGGCCTGGACGGGGCCGGTCGCGGGTACTTAGAGCGCTCAAAACGGCCTCTGCGAGGAAGCCCAAGTCACTGGTTTTTTCTACGGTTTTGGCCCCATTTTGGCCTCTTGGGGGGGGGACTGCTAATTGCCCCCCCCCCCTTCTTTGATCGATCTCCTCCAAGATGGCCCAAAGATGCGCCCAGGAGGCCCCAAGAGGCCCCAAAATGGTCCCAAGATGGCTCCAAAATGGCCCCAAGAGGCCCCCAGTAGGCCCCCAAGAGGACCCCAAGCGGCCGCACGAGGCCCCCCCGAGGCACCCAAGACGCCCAAGAGCCCCCAAGGACCGCCAAGAGACCCCCGAGACGTCCCAAGAGGCCACCAAGAAGCGCCCAAGAGATATCCCAAGAGGCTCCGAGAGGCATCCAAGAGACCTCTGGCCTTCTTGCTTACCCTCCTCCTGCTCCTCCTTCTTCCTCCTACTCGTTCTCTTCCTCCTCCTCCTCATCCTCTTCCTCCTCCTCCTCCTCCTTCTCCCCACTCCCTCATCCATCCATCCAGCCTCCTCCTTCTCCTCCTCCCTCCTTCGCACGGTTCGGCCGTCCCCCTCTTTGCTCCTGCACTTCCCTGATCGCCTCAACTCGCCTGGGCATCGTTTCTGGATTGGCTGGTGGGTTTGTCTGGCCGTTTCGCTCGGGACATCTTCAACATCCAGAAGATCGAACGCACCCCTCACGCAGATCGCGATGTCACGGCTCAAAAACAATATATGTAAACTGTCCTAGCAAAACTCAATCAGACACCACCCAGACACGTGACGGAATGAGATGATGTTGGACGTCGCTCTTAGACAAACAGCCGTTTCGCGCAAGACATCCCGCAAGCATTGAAACCCAACGTATTCGGAATTGTCATCATATCCGTCAAAACGGCAATTTCGTTCAAGACATCCTCCAAACATTGGCTTCGTAGCTTCCTGTCAACTGCAATCGCAAGGTGCGGAACAACCTCCTGCGCCGCACACTCCTGCGCCGCACACATCGCAAGGTTTGGCAACCCCATCTGCGTTCGACTGCGATCCCGCTGTTGTACATCCTTCCCAATAGCCCCTTGGTGACCCAAATGATCCTCCTTCTCTCAATTTTCCTCCCCTTCTCAATCTCCTTGTTCCTCCGCCTCCTCCTCCTCCTCCTCCTCCTCCTCGGATCTGACTGTACACTCCTCTTCGTGACCATTTCTACGATGCTTATACGTGCAGCAGATCTTTTTGTATGAGCCTGGGCACACATGTGCCACTCGGTTTACCATGTCCGCGTAGCGGTCGTTACCGGGGGGAGGTGCCTGGGTATCGGTAACACTGGGCGGGGTGGGGCACGCGGGTGGGGGGTGCGCTGAGATCGCCATACTATGCGCGCGAATGCCACGTTATGCCTGCGAACACCCTGCCCAGCGCTGGGAGCAGGACCTGTTGCACGGGCTATCCTCACCTCGAGGAGCCCCAGCACCAATTCTAACCACTCCCAGCGTCAACCTCTACGACTGAACCTCTACGGCTGCAGCCGCCCTCTGCGGGGCGCAGCTCTCCACAGGGTTTGCCCTCACCGACGGCACAACACTACCTAGCTGGCTACTACCTTCTCCAGAACTCTCAACACTACACCACGTGACTACTACGCACTCATTGCCACCACGGCAGCAGAAGCATCAGCTACTCCACGACGCGGCACTAGCAGCAGCAGCCTCCCCACCTACTCGCCCTCAACTCCGCCATCTGTCGAAATCCACTATCGCAGCCTCATCTACCGCAACTACCTTGTACTCTCCTTCCTCGCAAACTCCGTGTGCAACGACAACCTCCACCTCTACATCCACAACGGCGGTTTCTTGTGCTACCTGCACCTCCACTGCCTCAATGTCTACAACCCCATCCTCATCGGGCACATTCTCTACCTCCTCCTCCTCCTCCTCCTGCTCCTCCTCCTACTCCTCCTCCTCCTATGCACCTCCAGCCCCAGCTAACCTTCCCCTCCCTCACCTGTTCTGCCTGTAAACCCATCCCCCCACCTTTCACCCGCCAACCTTCACCACCACCCCATCGCGCTGCAGGGACCTGGCCGCGCCCCACTAAGTGCCGAGCCGAGGAGGCCCCCCCTCCCCGCCGGTGGCCACGCTCGGACCACCTCCCCTCCTCACCTGCCATCCCGATTCCCACCTCTCGCGCTTGTGCCTCACTCCGCCTCATAAGCCTAGCCGCCACCCTCGCTTTGTACCGTCCACAGCGCTGCCGCAAACTTACCCGCCTCCCCACTCCACACGGCCCCCTCCCGCTGCGCCGCCGCGTCGCACCGCACCTCTCGGGGACCCAACCTCCTTCTCCTCATGGACCTCGGGAGCAGGACAGGCTGGAGGCGGGCCCCCACTCAAGGAAAGGAGAGCCGAGGTGGGCCTCAGCTCCCCCCGTGGGGCTGGGGCCCATGCTCGGCTCACCTCTGTACCCTCACAGCGCTGATGCACATAAGCGCCACCTGCCCCCACTTCATCCCCCCCCCTCCCGAGGTGCATCATCATGTTGACCATCCATTCTTGCCTCTTCTCTCCCTCTCTCTGCCTCTGGG